TAAGAGCATCACGAGTCACTAAACAGCGGTCGATCCGGTCGTCACCGCCCGCCACCGACTCTTCTCGATGAGAACGGTGACGTCCACAATCACTTGGAGCGTCGAGTATGACGACGTCGTCACCAGGATCAGACCCAATATCTGGTTAAGTGGCGAGGATATCCCGACTCCGAAAACTCGTGGGAGTTTGAGACGCCACTTCGGCAAGATGGCCCAGATGCCATGAACTCTTTTTATCAGAAAGATCAGGACACCCCGCGCTTCTCGGCAATAGCCAGAAAAGTAGAAGGGTCATGAGCTGAGCTCAAGCGGTGGCCCTGAGCTCTTGTGGTCACAGACGCAGAGCTCGCGGGAGCATTAGGGGATGACCCATACGTCGCAGGGCGACAATCTGAAGGGATTCGACGGCGTGCTTTGAGTTTGGCAAACTCAAATCGGAGATGTCGCTCCACACGCACGTCCACTTCCTAATGGCTCAACTGCAGGTTATGCTGTGAGAAAAAATTTCGGTGCCGTTGCACCCATCGCTCAAAGAGTGCTTCGTCATCTGTAGTGCTTTCGCTAGGGGCGAGCACTACAAGTATTGTCCGCATAGCGGGTACACGAGAGCCACCTCGTTGTGCACTCAGACTAGTGCGATAAGCTTCCAACGGAAATTCTTTGGAACCAAGAAACGAGCTCGAAGAGCCTTCCGTTTGGCAAGCTCATCTTCCGTTCTGGCCGGGGTCCTGCTGATGTGGACGCGTAACGATCGAGTTACCGCGTCCTTCGCTTCAAAAGCGGGATCCGCTGGGCGGAAGCCATATTCCACACGAGGGTCAATGACCGACCGTGGATGGGAGCGCTTCAGAGCCGCCTTACGGGCAGCTTTTAGCTGCTGCCTCTGTTCCCCGTCGAGGTCATTGTTGATCACACCATGTGCCTCAGTTGACGAGAAGTCAGGGAACGGACATGGGATCCACTAGACACGAGCAGGGCTCGTCTCACACCGCTGGCGCAGCACATCCATGCGGGAA